AATAATGATGGGATTTGGATTGCAGCCCCAAGGGTGGCAGGGTTGAAGTGTCCTTGGTTGAAGTGTGGTAGTGGTCTGGTGGAAGTATGATCAGCATGTGCTGGGTTTTTGCACATCTCTGTGTTTCAGGGATGATTTTGCTTGGCATGGTGTCACACAGATGCTGACACGGAGCCGCCTGTGCCTGTTCCATCAAGCAGAGTGGTGCTCACATTTAAACACCCAGCAAGAGCCCACAGAGACATTTGGTGGAGCTTTAGCATGTGCACAACAAAGATCCTAAACACGAGATGCCCTTAAATCCACACCCAGGGTACTTTCAGCAGCCCTAGCAGCTCAGCCTATGAGGAACCTCCATGCTCTGGGGGGCTGAAGCAGGCTGGTGTACAGCAGGCTGCTTTTGGAGCCACAGACACACATCCTGGAGCTTTTCAAAGCACAGGATGACTCGTTTCCATGTCCCTACATTCCCACCTTGACCACCCCGTATCGATGCTGCCATCGAATGGTTTAGCAGATGCACGTGGTGACTGAGTTTCTCAGCACAGATGGGGCTGAACAGAAGGGACCTCTTTGCCTGGGAGAGCACACGTGAGGGGAGCAGGGCATAAGAGACTTGGAGCAAGCAGGGAGGAGCAAGGGGAAGGATGTTTCAACAATCATTGGGGGTCTCAAAGCACGACAATGAGCTTGAGTGTGGAGTTTAAGGCAAAAAGGTTGAGGTGAGATGTGTTAAATCAGTGTGGAGGATTTGGGGTCCTGACTTGAGCTCAGCCTAGTGGTATTTGCATTACTGGTATTTATTTGTCGAGCCTTTTTTTCCTCTGGATTATCTCCAGCTCGCACAGCTTTAGGGTGGTGAGCCAAGGGGCAGCTCAGCCCACGCTACTGGTTGAGGTTGTTAATGAGTGTGCAGACACCCAAAATCAAGTCCAAGACATTGAGAAAGCTCCTGGATTTCTTTTCTCCCTGTCCGCATGTCTCTGGTGACGAAGGAGAGCGGCTTTTTCTGAAGATCCCACCTGGCTCAAGGAGCAGTGGGGCAGGGGGGATGCTGGGTGGGATAGGAGGTTCACCCCGAATCCGTGGGTGGATTGTGGTGTGGGGCACCAGCACTTTTGCAGAATTTTGGTATCACGAGTCAGGGCTTGTCACAGGGAGATGCTGTGACTTCTTACAGAGGCTGGGAACGTGTGGCTGCTGTCCCCAGCTGCTCCCAGTCACGGCTGTGGGGCTGAGCTGGAAGCAATCAGAGCCTCTGGGTGCACAGTGACAAACTCCTCGTGCCCAGAGGCGCTGCTCCCATAAATCCTGTAAGCGTGTGCCTAACTTCACAGAGCAAGGTGATTGCAAGGCAATATTTTATTCTTGTCAGCTTCAGTGTTAACAGTTACCAGAATCACTTGGGTAATTAAGCTCTTGCAAGAATAAAATGAAAACGCGCCAGGTGTCTATGGAGATCTAAATCATTTCTCAGAGTGGGCAGAGGAGTGGTTCTCAGCTTTCCTCGGTAGCTGGAGCCCTAAAATCCCCAGAGGCAGTGCAGATCCCCTCGGAATAAGCTGAAGGCAGCAGCCCTGCTTTTCTCAGGTACCTTTTGCCAACCATCTTCAAGGAACTACTGCCCAGGGCCCCCCCTATGTGATTGTTGTTAATGAGTGTGCAGACACCCAAAATCAAATCCAAGACATTGAGAAAGCTCATGGATTTCCTTTCTCCTGGGTTGAAAACTTTTTAATAAACAAAGACCTTTTGCAACACTCATGACTAAAATTTCATACCAAAGAGTATTTTTGAAAAGTATTAGTGTAGCTACTGCTGCAAAGTGCTGATCCCTGTTTTGCAGCTGGAAAAGAGAAGGCTGGGACTGTAGTAGGGGAACTGGTTGTCTGTGTCTGTGGGATGTCATTGGGTAGATCCCATCACTATTTATAAATGTTAATTACTGGGATCATAGAACCATTATAGAATCACAGAATGGTTTGGGTTGGAAGGGACCTTAAAACCCAGCCAGTTCCACCCTCTGCCATGGGGGTGCTAGATCAAGTTGCTCCAAGCCCCATCCAACCTGGCCTTCAACACTTCTAGGGATGGGGCAGCCACTGGGCAAACTGGGCCAGGGCCTCCCCACCCTTACAGAGAAGAATTCTTTCCTACTATCCCATCTAACCCTGCCTCTGGCAGTGGGAAGCCATTCCTCCTTGTCCTGTCCTTCCAGGCCCTTGTCCCAAGTCCCTCTCCAGCTCTCTTGGAGCCCCTTTAGGGACTGGAAGGGGCTCTCAGGTCTGCCTGGAACCTTCTCCAGTCTGAACACCCCCTGCTCTCCCAGCCTGGCTCCAGAGCAGCTCCTCTGGCCGAGCTCCACCCAGGGCCCCGGGCTGAGCTCTGCAGCCTCGGCCGAGGCCAGGAGAGGGCGGCGGGGAGTCCTCGGGACACCCGGGGACGGACGGGCCCCGCTCCCAGGAGCAACTGCTTCCCACGCATACTGCTGGGGAAGTCACCTCGGCCAAGGATTTTGGTGTCCAGAGCTGCAAAACTCCGATAAAGCCAAACCCCACTATCTGGTCAGTGCCTTTCTTGGGGTCCCGAGGGGCAGACGAGCAACCAAAATGGCTTGTGCCTTTTGCCATGTTGGCCAGGAGCAGGGCATGTCACCAGCTGGGCAGGACAGTGCTATCACAGGGTCCCGGGGGGTGACACACAGCCCCCCTCGGGGGCGAAGCCCAGGGAAGGAAAGGACCTGGGGCAGCCACCTGAGCCCCCGTGGCTTGACGTGTGAGGTGGGACCAGACTGGCAGATGTCCAGCTGGTGTGTCTGGAGCTGAACGAAGCCAGGGATACTTAGATTTATGTAGGGCAGGATGACTAATGCCCCGGCCTTTGCAATTCCAAATAAGTAGGGTAATTAGGGAACTGGCTTTATTGACTAGGTAGCGTGGCATGAGGCAACGTGTCCCTGTGTGCTCCTGACCCGGGCAGAGCTCAGGGACCACAGATCCACACAAACATTCAGATCTCTTTGTGTGTCTGAAGATGCAGCCTGGTACCTGGTGAGGTTTCTGGAGTCATCCACCCAGGACATTGGACACTTCATCTCCCAAGAGCACCTGCCTGCATCACCCTGATCACAAATCCCTGTTGCTGCAGCCATCATTATGCTTCCTGTGCTCCAGCAGGAAACAAACATTCTTTGGGATGTGGTTTTTAATTTTCTTCCTGTTTCACAAGGGATTTGTATCAAGACAGGAGCAGGAAGCAGGATTCTCTCATCCGGTCGTCTGTGATGACTCTTGTCCCAAACAGGTGATGAAATTTGTCACGCCTACACCACACAGAGCCCCGCTGAGTCTCATCTTCATCCGGGCAGAGCAGGTGAATAATGTCACCACATCCGAACGGCCCCACTTCACCCCGGGAAGAAATGATTCCCTGGGGCTTGAGGAAGTGGAGGGTGAGCACTGGCGGGAGAAGGTGGCCCCGGAGCCCTCCTGGCACTGTGCTGGCCTCTGGTATCCACAGTGAACATCCGTGAAGGGTTGGTAGCAGCTGGCTCTGCTCTGGGCCGGGCTGCAGCCTCGTTTCCAAGCCAACCGGAGTTCCGTGCACTCCCCAAATGGCTGCAGACAATGAGCCCGGCGAGCCTCCCCCGTACCAGGCTGAGCGCGGCTGATGCTGGAAGCGGGGAAAGCTGAGGCAAAGGGCTCAGCCTCTGCAGCACCCTGGTGTCATCCTGCCCTTCGCCAGCAGCTCCATGTCCAAGCGAGAGGCTCTGGCAGGGATGAGACCACCCGGGAACAGTACTGGGCCTGCATCCCTGACCTGCCTGGGGCACTTGTCAGTGCCAGGAGGGAAAAAAGTTAGTCCCTGTTCTGGTGATGAAGACACTTGTGCATGTTCTTCCCCCTGCAAAATATCAAATTAACAGAGAATAAAGGGAATCAAGCCTGGCATCACTGAAAACCTGGGTATTACTGTCTCTGCTGACCAGAAAGCAATGCTGGAGCTCGGAGATGCCACCCAGCACAATCAGGGTCCCTCCAGGGGTGGTGGGCATGTGTTTATCTCATGGAACGATTGAGAGTTTCTGCCTGGACATCTTAGTGCAATTTTATTCTGATTTTGAGGCAGTGCAACCTGTTTTCCCTCACGTGTCCCTTATATTCCCCGCACAGGTTCCTCACGTTCCCCTCACATCTCTCACATTCCCCTCAGATTTCCTTCACATTCCCCTCACGAGTTGCTTGCCACAGACCTCACATCACTCGATTTTACAGTGGCCCCAGGAGCCATCTCCACACTTGGCCCCACAGGACACCCCAGGATGTGATGCTGTGACTCTGTGCCTCCCCGCCGCCGCACCCAGCATGGCGCCGCGCCACACTCAACATGGCGGCAGCGGGCTGAGGCGGGCGGGGGGCGCGGAGGGGGCGTGTCGCGCCCCCAAGATGGCGGCGGCGGCGGGCGGGGTGAGATGGCGGCAGGTGCGCAGGCGCGGGCGGGCGGCGGTGACGCGCGGGGCGCGCGGTGACGGAGCGCGGCGGCCGCGGCCCTTTGTTGGCGGCGGTTGAGGCGCGGCGGGGCCGGGCCGGGCCG